TATACACACACATACACACACACACACACACACACACACACACACACACACACACACACACACACACACACACACACACACACACACATATAGTTGAAGTCAGAATTATTAGACTTCTTTTGATTTTTTTTTTTTCTCTTTTAAATATTTCCCAAATGATGTTTAACAGAGCAAGGAAATTTTCACAGTATGTCTGATAATATTTTTTTTTCTAGAGAAAGTCTTATTTCTTTTATTTTGGATACAATGAAGGCAGTTATTAATTTTTTTAAAAAACATTTTAGGGACAATATTATTCGCCCCTTTAAGCTATTTTTTCCCCGATAATCTACAGAACAAACCATCATTCTACAATAACTTGCCTAATTACCCTAACCTGCCTAGATCACCTAATTACCCTAGTGAAGCCTTTAAATGTCACTTTAAGCTGTATAGAAGTGTCTTGAAGAATATCTAGTCTAATATTATTTACTGTCATCATGACAAAGATAAAATAAATCAGTTATTAGAGATGAGTTATTAAAACTATTATGATTAGAAATGTGCTGAAAAAATCTGTTCTCCGATAAACAGAAATTGGGGAAAAAAAAAAATAGACAGGGGCGCTAATAATTCAGGGGGGCTAATAATTCTGACTTCAACTGTGTGTGTGTATGTGTGTGTATATATTTTTTAGATATATGTTTTTGCTGTTCAATGCATATCTTAATTTAACACACCCTCCAGGAGTTGCAAGTCAAAAGGTTGAGATGAAAAAAAAAATGTACAAGTTTTTTGTATATTTTCACAGCGAAAGCGTAAGTTTTATGTATATATAATTTTTGTTTACAGTAGTCAACATTGGAAGTGGATTATCACCTTTCATCAAAGTTGTCCTAAAACTATTGAACAGCACCCATTCTTGTCCTAAAACTAATTTGAAAAACTTTTTTGATTCACTTTGAATGTTGACTGCTGTATACAAGTATGCATCACCCTGAGCCCCTGAAACCCACAAGAGATTATAGTAAGTCTCATTCTGCTTCTTAGTGTATTATTGACATTATTTATTAAAATCTTCTTCATTTGTTGTTGTTGATTCAGATGATCTGTAAGACGTGCTCCCACATCCTCCTCACCAAAGAAGAAAAGCTGCAGTTTCTGGATTACCTGCGCAGACCTGGACTGGCGTACCTGCAGAAGCGCGGCCTGAAGAAAAAAATCTCCGACAAATGCAGAAAGAAGACCGTCTGCCTCAACTGCAATGCATTTAACGGTACAACGACTGAATCTTTACTTTACTCATCTGCTTTTATTGCTTTTATTATCAGTAACTTATTGGGGAAAAATAAACGTATTGATAATCCCTTGTAAACATGTAAGGGTATAATTAGTGGCTTGCCAATTATTTTAAATGTTAAATCTAATACTGCAAAAGCTGAAAAAATTATCCTAATTTGCCAAATAAATAAATAAAAAATCATATTAAAGGCTCCAGATCAATTAAACATGCTTTATGAATGGGCTACATTATGGATTGAGTAATTAAATTATGCATAGCTTATATTTATTTTCAATCCAACCACACACTTTATTCTGTTTTAACGCGTTAGTCTGGGGTCTGAGCTGATTTTTGGGATGCTTGGATTTGCTTTGACATTTTGTGCTTATTTTTTCTGCTTCTAACATTCCATTGATAGGCCTGTCACAATAATCAATGTATGGATTATCGCACAACACATGGACATGACCTCAATCATTTCTGCGGTCCGTTCTTCGAGCGTGGATTACTCAGTTAGCTGGATGTGGATGTTGGCGATTTGACACGATCCAGGATTGTTTCGTTCTTCAAAGCTAATCCGAGAGTTGTTGTCATGGTAACAGTTCTGGTTGGTCAAATCTGCTCGGCAGCAGGTTCAATTCATATAAACAGGATTAGATCGGCTCAGTTCATGCAAAGAAAATACTGAAAGTATGTACCGAATGCTGATATTTTATTACAGTAGTAGTTATACACTTGGGAAAATAGTAAATATTTTTAACTATATATATATATATATATAAATAAATAAATAAATAAATAAAACTTGCACTCTGCACTCTGAAATGAAAGTACAAAGACTGCCACTTGGTGGTGCAAAGAGAAAACTTATTGATATGAACTTTTTAGATCGCTTTAGAACAATGTTTATGATAGATATGCACAATATGTTTTTTTTTTTTTAAAGCAATAATACATTTATGCAACATGTTTTGACAGTTAATATGATTTGATGCTTCACAAAAGTTGCAGATGCCTTCACCAATATCAAAATGCTTTTGTAAACATTAAAAATTAAAAGCGATTAAAAAACCGGCTATTATAATAAAAAAAAGCCTTTTCTAAATGTAGAACTAAATACACTGATATGCATTGAAATACATGATAAATACTCTTGACACATGTCAGTGTAAAGCCTGCAGCTCACAACAAACGAGGAAGGTTATTGCGTGTCATATTTAACAAACCGTTTACTGCTAATGTGATGTAATTTTGCTCGCATGTATAATTGAATATTAATCAGATGATGTCATTACGCTGCTGTGCCGTCAGCCAATCGTTGCTGATCATGATTTCGAGGATGGATAGATCTGTCCTTCACAACACACGCAGCGATCTCAGATCAGTTCATCCAGACATTCTAATCTGATTCACGAACTTGTTTGAAGAACCAAATTAGCGAGAGATCAATTATCAAGATGAACAGATCCAGGATCTGCCAAATCATCTTAGATCATTTAAGCAAGGTATGAAGAACGGACCCCTGGTGATGCAATATATATCCCACCCATACATAAACAACAACTCATGCAACATCTGATTGTGCAACATCTCTATCTCTATTGGAGGTGTCAGTGTCAGTATGGTTAAAGGCACTGCAGTATTTACTGTAAATGACTATAGTGTGTTTTCATGTGGGTGTCTGACAGCTGAAATTAGATCTGATTATGATAGATATTATATCTGAATAGATGATGATATTATATTGTCATTCTGGCATTATATAATAAGTGGTATAAAATGGTCTTAAAATTCTAATAATATCCTTTATTGCTGTATATTTTGGTGCAATATATTTTTTAGTCAGCAGTCCAGCATGCATGAAGAGGTTTATTTATTAAATTCAGACCAAGGGAGACAAAAGAACGTCCCTAATCAATGCCAATGTTCTCCCATCAATGCTGTGAAACAAAAAGAAAGAAGGTTCAAAGATTAACGGTGAAATGTCATGCGGTGAGTGTGTTATGGTGTAATGAGTGTGTCTGGTGTCTCTTCAGGCTCTGTGAAGAAATGCGGTTTGCTGAAGATCATTCATGAAAAGTATAAAAGCACGAAGAAGGTCGTCGACCCCGCAGTGTCGGACTTTCTGCAGTCGTTTGACGTCGCCATCGAACATAATAAAGAAGTGGAGTCTCTGCTGACCCGAGCACAGGTCAGTATCACAGCACTACCGAACACACGGTTCTTGAAAGTACTTGAATTTCAGACATGTGCATTCAATGCCTGAAAAGTACTTAAAAACTAACACAAGTCTTTGAAAATGCTTGAATTACATGGATAAACATTGATTTCCATGTTGGATTCTAAGTGGACTGCAAAAAAAATGCCAAAATACAGGAATTGCAGATATGGAAAATAATAAACTATAGAATTCAAACTGTTGCACTCATTGTAAAGTTTTATTGCTGTGAGTTGAGAACATTAATTATAGAGTAGAAACAATTTTGCATAATCCTCCTTTACATTCATCCAGATGCTAAGACTAGGAGTATCCCACGAGGGCACAGAGACTCCCAAATGCCCGCAAATGAATGATAATTTCTTGCAAACTGGTCGTTAAATACATTGCACACCCCTCTCCACCGCATCCCTCCTAGTTCTTCAGGTATGTCGCGCGCAACTCACCCCCACCGTGCTTCAGGTACGTCTCGCGCGCACACGCCCCTACTCAGATACGTCGCTCACTCCACCCCTGACACCCCTCAACAGGCCTCACACAGACACACACACAACGCGCTGCAGACGTTTTGGCCCCAACTGTCTTCCATACTGGAGCGACTCCCCTCAGATTCAACACGCATGATCACGTTCATCAAATTTGCGTAAACTAAGCGTCCTAAATTATTACTGTATTTCACAAGGATTCTTCACAACAACGTGAAGCAGACGCTTTCATTGCGTTTAATGAGGAAACACGCTAAACTTGGAGGCTCATGCTGAAAGGCAGAGTAATGCCCTGTCTTTGACAGCTCGCGACTTCACCAGAGACTTTGAGTACATTCACATAAGACGCCAATACTCCGATTTTAATATGATTAAGATAATACTCTTATTAAAATTCTACCGTGTAGCCTAAGCAGCGATTTTATTACCTTAAAGGAACACCGAGTCACGAAATATAGAGAGAGAGAGAGAGAGCGCGCGCGCGCGAGCGAGCTAGAGAGAGAGAGAGAGAGATATATATATAAATATATAAATATATATAAATATATATATTTTAAAAAAAATTTTTATTTTTTTATTTTTTTTTTTTTTTTTTTTTTTTTTTTTTTTAAAAAAAAAAAAAAAAAAAAATAAATAAAAAAATAATTTTTTTTTTATATATATATATATATATATATATATATATATATATATATATATATATATATATATATATATATATATATATATATATATATATATATATATTAGTTCCACATAAATCCATCTATTTTTTTAACAAAGATTTTTTTTTTTTTTTTTTACAAAAAACAATGCTTTAAAAGTATAAAAAGTAAATTTGTAAAATTTTTGTTTGTAAAAAATCTGCTGATTTATCCTGAGTGATTTCGAGAGTTGTCACAATCACCAGTAATCTAGCAGTTGCAGATCGCTGGAGAACTACAAATCTGTAACGCAAAAATCCCATTACACCACAACAGGAAGTAAAAAAAAAACCTGCAACTGCGTTAATTGCGTTAATTTTTTTTAACGCGTTAATTATTTAAAATTAATTGCATGCGTTAACACACTATTTTTGACAGCGCTAATATATATATATATATATATATATATATATATATATATATATATATATATATATATATATATATATATATATATATATATATATATATACAGAGACACAGAAAAAAAAAAAAAAAAAAAAAAAAAAAAAAAATGTATGTGTGTGTGTGTGTGTGTGTGTGTGTGTGTGTGTGTGTGTGTGTGTGTGTGTGTGTGTGTGTGTA